CACACAGCTTAAAGTTGCTAAGGTTGAGAAACACTGGCTTAATTTGACAGGGTTTTCTGTTTTCTGTCTGGCCAACCTACAAGTATGTCATTCTCACCTTCCTACAGGCACAGATACAGTACAGGCAAGATTCCAGACACTCCCACTGAATGCTAAATTAGCAGAGATGCATTTGAATGGGAGAGAGAAAGACTAAAAAGCACTGTATTATTTTTCTACCACCGGTGTGAAAAAACAGTGTTTTTATTCTTCACTTAAAGCATGAGGTGGGGAGGCAGAAAACAAACTATGTCTGTTCATTCCAGTACCAAGAAAAGAGGCTTAACATTGCTGCACGTTTGCTGTGATCATTTAGTTCCCTTTACTTGGGAAGGAAAGAAAATCTTCAGTTTTCCCTGTTTCTCCCAGTGAAACGTGAAGTGTATTTGTGCGTGCACGCATGTGTATGAGTGTGAGATCATTATATGGGGGCGCCCTGTAGTGTATGAGGATAGAGGTTAAGTCTGACTCCTTATACACACGCTGTAACAGGTGTAGCTCCCACACGTGAGCTTTGTTATGTCGTCTTTTCTGAAAATCATGTTTTGTAAAAGAAATGTCCATTTGTTATTCAGGCATCTGCCTGAACGATTCAGCTTTATTAAGAAAAAAAGAGGATGACTCAGGACAATTTACTAGTAGCAAACTTGGCATTAGCAAATCAAATCATCCTTGGGTCATGGTTGATTCTTCAGCAGGCAGGAATTTATTCCACTTCAGCAAAGCTTGTCATAGCCTGCTCTTGAAAGAGCGAAATCCCAGTTTCGTGTGCATTTGAGAAAAAAGATTGTAGGGTATGACTTTCTTCTGATACTGTATTACAACATCTGTATTTTAATATCCAGTTTGCCTCTTCTGTGCCATTAGTTGTGAAGATTGTGTTTTTCCCACTTCGTATGGATTTGTGTATTAGGTTGAGCCAAAAACAAACTACACTATCGTGTTGCTTGATCTTGCCTAAGATTTTATCACTACCTTAACCAACTGGGTGCCAAATGAGATGTGAAGTTACTTGCATGAATAATTTATTAAAGAGAGCAATATTTTTCATGTTTGCCTCCTGTCAGTTAGGCAACACACTGAGGAACAATTAATAAAGTGTGATCTATGTTCCTTTTTAAATATTATTTATGAAAATATAAGTGTAAATTTGCAATAGAAATCCCAAAAAAATACAGAATTTGTAAGTCATCTGCTTTTTGATTGTTTGGATTGATGTATTCTCTACTTATAAGTGTGGTCCCATTCTTCTGTATTTCATTCATTACAAAAATATAATAGTGTATAGTGAATAAAAAACATTCAAGAAGGTGATTAGTCAACTGCTGCTTGGTTTTAGAAGATGTTTAGCAGAAAAGACAAGCTTCCTGATTTTTGCTTGATCAGTGAAAACCTTGGTGGAATTTTCTCTGAGTCATAAATACAAAATATGGGGGGTGGAGTTAATAGGCTTAAACTATATAGATGTTTTGCTTTTCTGTAATGTGGGAGGTAGCAGAGGTCTATAAATAGGGTTTTATAGGGTTTTTTCATGCAAAGAGCATTGAGGAAATAATTGTACCGCGGAAACACATTAGAAGAACCTTTGCCCGGTAACAAATCCTGCTTTTTCTAGAAGTTACTAAAACAGTTATTTTTCACTTCCTGTTTTTCATAGGCAAGTGAAAATTACTCGCATCCCAGCTCCTGAGTGCATTTTCTACTTCTTTCTGACTACTGTCAGCCTTTTTCCACGAACAGCAGGTTACTGTATGTGGCTTTGCGTCCTCTTTCCTTGTACAGCTGCAAAGGCTGGTATAGGGGTGAGCGAGGCCCAGGAGGTAATTAGCCATAACACAGCAGGGAAAGATGCTACGATGTCATCAGCTTACTAATTATCACTGTTGGATTTTTTTTTCCTCTTGGGAAAAGTCATATTATTAAAGAGGATGGGAAAGTGTATTTCTCTTTCGAATAGTGATAAAAACTCAAGAAAGTAGAGATATAGGGAGTGTATGCACACTCCCCCCAACCCGCCCCCTTTTAAAGGCCTGGTAGATGCATTCTCAGGAATTGATAGTTTTGAACTGATATGGAACTTAGAATGCTTTAATTTAGCTTTAAAGACAGTGACATGGAGGAATATACAAGATAGTTTAACGTAATAAAGTAACATATCTCTGCTTTAGTTCAGTGGTGGGAAATCTGAGGCTTTTTTTTTTCTTGTTTCAGTTCCCAGATATCTTTCCAACTATGATGACTGAAAACAAAGAGTATATTTTCTCACAATGGTGAGAAAGACATCACATGAAAACTTAGTGTAAACATTAAAATGGGGTTAACATGGTTTAAGAAACCAACATGGTTTAAGAAACCAAAGGCCCTACAACCCAAGGAAAAAACAGCCCTTCCCACAGGCATAACCCAGCCTGCCTAGGTTGCATTACGCCCTCATTCTTCAAAAACTATTAAATAGCGCTCGCAAACAGCAAAAGGTTGCCCGTCCTGGTGGAAAGGTACTTTAGGTATGCAGAAAACAAGCTAGCTGAGAATCCATGTTCGAATAGAATGTAATCTTTTTGCAGGTTTGCCCTGCAAGTAATCTTTTCTGGTGAACATGACGGATAATGAGCTTAATAAACTATATGAGGCGTACTCAGTCCAGTGAGATATACACAGTCCATCTGAACACCCAGGTGCGTGGAAATGCAACAGCATGCAAGGGATGGACTAAAACATTGATGTGCCAGAGACCAGGAGAAGATTGAAATGTGACTGATGGATAAAATACCATGAATCAAGACAGGTTCAAGAGTTGCTCAAGAACAGCTAGATTCCTCCACAAATTCCTCCTCTAAATAATAACGCTATTCTCTGACAAGACTGATAAAAACCAGCTGATCAGAGTCCAACTTTTTTAGGTTATAAAATAGAAGACAAAGAGGACCTGCTTGTGCAAGCTTGGTGGATGTGTATACATGTAGTAGGGAAAAGCCACTCTATTTTATAGCTTGCTATTTTATTTGTTGGGGGGGGTTCTGCCTGCTCCTTCTCTCACTGAGGAATCTTTCTGAAATCAAAGAACTACAAGACAACTTTTAGTAATGTTCTGATTACTATTTTAGATAACCCCTCAGTTTACATTAATTGGGAAAGTTGTGTTGATCAGCAATGTGTTGGAACCAAGAATTTATTAAAGCACAGCACTGCAGCCTACAGCCCATGGACCAAATCTGGCCTGCCACCCAAAATAATTTGGCCTGTAGTCCCAAAAACAAATATAATATCCACCTGGCCCAAGGTGGTCCTAAAAAAGAATTCAAGTTGGTAATTCTATCTCAGGCCTGACGTAGAACCACAGCATTTTAATGTAACAATTTGGATGGTGTTATGAGTCCATATATAAATACCTTTGTTTGCCCTTCCGGGACACTCTATTGCTTTGTTGTTGTTTTTTTAAAAAAAAATTGGTTGTTTAGGGTTTTTTGGACTAAAAAAGCTATCAAAACATTTCACAACCATTTTTAATTCTCATATTTTTATTAAACATTTTTGAAAAAAAAAAGACAAAGAAAAAAGAGAAGAAAAATAGAAGTAAAACACAAAGTGAATAAACATAAGTTGCAAAGACATGTAATGGAGGGTGGAACAGATTTTGCTGTTATTCTGCCATGTCAAAATAAAACTACGTTTTTCCTTTTTTCTCCTGTAGTTGGCCTGTTGCTGTGGTACCGCTGCATGTTCCCTTTGCTGCAATTGTTGCCCAAAGATAAAGCAGTCGACCGGTACCCGCTTTATGTACGCCTTGTACTTCATCTTGGTGGCTCTCATTTGTTGCGTCATGATGTCAGAGACCGTAGCAAAACAAATGAAAGAACATGTAAGTAAAAGCATTAATTACCGGGGATCCAAGGAGGGAGAAGGGAGGTGCTGGAATAAGTTCTTGAACAGAACAAGTATATTTATACAGTTCAAAGGGAATTTCCAGAATAAACCACTTTATTCTTGAGTTTTGTAAAATTTTGGAAGGAATGATGAACACTGAACTGTTAGACTCATGATTTATGTCACATCCTAGTATTACAACCTTTTTTTAAAAAAATTAATATATTCATATGCAATTATAATAAACTATTTCAGGCATTTTGAAAGACCCCAAACTGTGTGTGGTTCAGCACTGCCAAGTGTTTCATCCTGTGTTTCGCTTTGAAAGCTGAGGAGTAGGAAGAGCCATACAAAGGATAATTGTTTTCTCAAAGACAAAAAATTATTGCTCTCTGAAACTTGAGTGTTTGGCTGCCTTGAATGAGAGAATGCAAATGAATCCTTTGTTGGAACTCTTGTCTGTTCTCCAGTCCTTTAAGATTGCAGTAATTTAGGTTCTACTCTGCTGATTATTTTTTAAAGTAGTCTCCTTCAAGTCAAGCTCTGTTCCTGATGACTTAGATACAACAATATAGCTTCCTTCAAAACAGAACTGAGGTTGTTCAAAATGGTTTCTTCTGGGATCTTTCCTTTTCCTTTTCCTTTTCCTTTTCCTTTTCCTTTTCCTTTTCCTTTTCCTTTTCCTTTTCCTTTT